TTAGTTATTTATTTATTTATTTATTTATTTATTTATGTATTTTTTGCAATTAACTTTATACTTCTACACAATTACCGTTATCAGTTTTTTATATTGTATCATAGTTTTGGTTTGATTACTATTCTGTACTGTATATTCCCTCAAAAAAATAAGTCTTGAACATTTATTATTTATTTTATCCCAACCATTTGTCCTATGTAGAGTCATGTGTTTTTATTTTATTTTATTAAATTTTTAAATGCTTTAAAACAAAGTTTACATGTGGTGCAATCTCATCTTTTTGGTTTGGTACATTTTTTTCTATGGTGAAAAATACTTTCTGAACCAAGGCCACTGGAAAAACTGTGCGGTCACTGTTGTGTTCAGTAAGGAGAACAATTTCTAGTAGAAGACCTTTTTTAGTAAACATGCTGTACTTGGGAAGGTGTTTTTAAATCCTTTAAGGATGAGTCTGTGTATTTTGTCCGTTGGGTCAGTATCTGCCCTGCTCATTTTCAGTTCTGCTACAGTAAGGTACAAACTTTCAACTTTACTCAATACTTTGAGTACTTTCAAAAGCAAGTACTCAAACAAACACTGTACCTCAATGTGGAGCAGCCTTTAATTCTCAAATAAGACATGAACACATTGTCGAGGGAACACATAGTCTTCAATTAATTTTAACCAACAATCTGTGATGGCGACATTTGGTAGGCACAGCATGATTACTGCACATCTGCTGAAGCCTGTAATAATTTATTCATTTAAGGTCAAATGTAACACATGCCTGCCCATAGACTGAGTCTGTTGTGATTTATGGGAACAGTAAGAGACACTTGAGGGGGAGGGGGGGTCATTTTCAAGTCAAGTCAAGTCTGCTTTATTGTCAATTCTTCCACATGTACAGCACATACACACAGAGAATTTAAATTGCGTTACTCTCAGACCCTTGGTGCATACAGGTAACACTAACAGTAGAACATAAATACAGATATACAGATTAAATATAAAATACAACTATACAAATATACAAATAAGGTCAAATGTAAAAAAATAAAAATAAATAAATAAATAAAATTAGTTGTCACTCTGATGTCCATCCCCATGGCACTTGTGCAAGGGGCTGAGAAGAAAAAACTACAGATTGGAATCAAGAAAAGGGTGGACAACTGTCCTATAAAGTCCCGCAAGGGAGACGTGTTGAACATGCACTACACTGTAAGCGTCTGACTGTTCTGACCTAAATATGATTCTTGCCCAAAAATGTCGTCTTCTAACAGTCCTGTTTTTATCTGCAGGGGAAACTGGAGGATGGGACAGAATTTGACAGCAGTATACCGAGGAATCAGCCCTTCACCTTTACTCTTGGCACGGGACAGGTCATCAAGGGCTGGGATCAGGGTTTGTTGGGGTGAGCAGCAGCACTACTGCATTTCTAGATGATCTGAGATTATTTGTCATCAATCTGGATAAGGATTTAAAGAGATGAACCTAAAGTTTGTCTAATAAAGCCGTTGTGAAACTGTTAAATATGTGACCCTGGACCACAAAACCAGTCATAAGGGTCAATTTTTTTGAAATTGAGATTTATACATAAATAAATAAGCTTTCCATTGATGTATGGTTTGTTAGGATAGGACAATATTTGGCTGAGATAAAACTATTTGAAAATCTGGAATATGAGGGTGCAACAAAAAAAATCTGAATATTGATAAAATTGCCTTTAAAGTTGTCCAAATGAAGTTCTTAGCCATGCATATTATTAATCCAAAATTAAGTTTTGATATATTTACGGTATGAAATTTGCTAAATATCTTCATGGGGCATGATCTCTATTTAATATCCTAATGATTTTTGGCATAAAAGAAAAATTGCTTTGAAGCATGTGGGGACAACAGCCTGGCTTAGCGAGATGTTGAAAATGTCTGTGAAGACATCAGCGAATTTTGGGGAGAGCAGCTGGCTCATTTGCATTCAGTCCGTCTCACTGAAACAAGCCACAGGAGAGAGAGAGAGAGAGAGTCAAATGACAGAATCAAGAAGGCTGTCTGCCCACTTTTGGTCACCCACAGCAACGCAAACCTTTTTTATTGCAGTCACATACATACAGTCACATGTGACTCATGGGATTGAACTGAGAAACCTTCAGACAGATGAATGAAGCGATTATGGTGATGCTTTTGTTCAGGGTGGAGGTTGAATATGTGCCACGCTCCCTGAAAAGATTTCTGCCACTTGTAGTTTTAACCCTTTAAAACCTGTCATAGAAAATAATAGTCAGAATGTCTTTGATGGAACAGTTTATTCAACCTTACATATAAGAACCTTGAATTAAAAAGGAAACCTAAAGAAATCATACAAGTTTTATGTGTTGTATCATATTTGATACATCGGGCTTTTATGGCCCATAGTAGTGATATAGGGAAAATATGGAGCTCATTCTTGGGAAGAAACAAAGTAAAACACAGTTTTATTCAGAAGCCCAAACTGAGCAGAAATGCAATTTGGTGCAGATCGTATTTATATGTTCAAATTCGGATATCTTGTAATGAAAATCAATTCGATTTTTAGGCCCATATCAGACTACTCACATAAAATGCTAAATATTAGTTCTTACTCTATATCTCCCAATAAGATGTTTTAATAAGATGATATTTTGAAATACTGAATCTAGCAATGTGCAGTATAATATATAGTACACCTCTTGCTTACATTTAGACCCGCCTTTACTAATTTCACTCCTCATCTTCAAAACGGTTCGACTTTTCCTCATAAAATAATATGCCTATTATTATATTATTATTTATTATAATAAAAACATGTTTTTAACGTTTATCACCTGGGGTTTAGATGTTTTACAAATAAAGTAATTTATGAGGAAATAGCGCCCCCATGTGTGACTCTTCATAATCTTAGCGGCAAACAAAATAAAAGTCCCGTTTCACCGCCCCAGTATTTCCTCAAAACAACCTATAATATTACCGCGTCTGATTTGTCAGTGTAGTATTAAATAACATTCTTATTTGAATATTACATGATTTAAAAATACATATAGTTTTTAATTATTATTTCTTAACCCTCTTAAATTTTAAATGACATACTGAATTTTGGAAAGCTAGTAGGAAGCGATCCAGGCCTGCCGACGTCACTTCCTGATGAACGACTCATTCTGAGATTCGGAAGGGACGAGTATTTTATTCTTATTACAGGTAATTGCATTTGTATCCATCAATTAAGCATTAAAATTACTACAATAGAAATTTATCTTAGGCGTCTCTCTTTGTAGACGGCTAAATTTATAGCACACGGTACAGTGAGCGAATAATCCTAATAACGTTAAACATGGTTCAGCAGAAAACCGTAGCCGTTATCCAATTAACTTCCTCTAAAATAATTCCAGCACGTTACAAAAAAATGCTGTGATTATTAGCGGAAGTGTTTTGCTAGTTAAAATGCACCTTATTGATCAGCGTAAGCTAATTCAGAGTCCTGCTGCTTATCTCTATTTAATATCCTAATGATTTTTGGCATAAAAGAAAAATTGCTTATTTTGACCCATACGATGTATTGTTGGCTATTGCTACAAATATACCCCACCGACTTAGACTGGTTTTGTGCTCCAGGGTCACATTTATTGGCATGTGTTGATGATGTGGCCTAGTGGTCTGCAAATAGGCTCAAGTGTGTTAAAGTTCAAATTTGACGTCCTTTAACCTTTTTTCTTTCAATATGATTTCCTGATATATCTTTGATGTATTCATTTATAAAAAACCTATTTAGCATGTGATGTTCCTTCTCTTAACTCTTAGGATGTGTGAGGGTGAGAAGAGGAAGCTGGTTATTCCCTCTGAGCTTGGTGAGTATGTTATGGAAATGTAATATGTTCCATGAGTTTCAAAATCCATCAAAAATGTATGATTTTAGACCACATCTTCAAATATGTGACTGTTTAACTACAGGTTATGGTGACAGAGGAGCACCACCTAAAATTCCAGGTAAGATGATTAGCAATTCTTTCTTCAATTTTCAACATGGAGTCTGATATCAGACACATTAATATTATATATTTTTCTACAATAAATGAAAGATTAAAGCTTTATATGTTAGGGATCCATAGGTCATTTACCTTGACTTAGAGTAGCTGTAAGAAGTATTTGGACACTTAAGCTGCTCTTAAAAACAAAAAAGTGAAGTTAGTTCGAAGAAAATATTTGGCTTATTATTTATTTATTTTTTTTTATTTTTTTAAAGCTTCTTAATCATTATAGATACTGGCAGAATACTGTCTCACTTTGCAAATCTGTTTTCCCATTAGGTGGTGCCACACTCATCTTTGAAGTAGAACTGTTGAGCATTGAGCGAAGATCTGATTTATAGTGACAGATTTGTGGGCCTGTCAGTCTTAAGCATTTAAAGTCAGTGTGTTTGCAGCAAGATCATCGACTGCAGCTGCGTGCTACACTGCTGTCCACTGTACCCACATAGCAACTTCTGGTGTTAAAGGGAGAGTCCACCCGCATATGAAAACTCTTATTTATTCACCCTCATGTCATTCCAAAACGGTATGACTTTCTTTCTTCGGTAGAACATGCAAGAAAATATTTTGAAGAATGCTATGATTTTTGTTCCCATTGACTCCATTGTAAGGACAAAAAAATAGAATGGAAGTCAATTGAACTGAAGATTCCCAATATTCTTCAAAATATCATCTTTTGTGTTATACAAAAAAAATAAAGTTATACAGGTTTGGAATGACATGAGTATGAGTACATGACAGAATTTTCATTTTTGAGTGGACTATCACTTTAAAGACATTTTTCAGATATTCAAAAGGTTACAGAAATAAAAGAAGCTTGATAATAACACTTTCACATTTTTTTGTATGTTTCCCTTTCAAAAAACGAATGACACAGCTTTTCAGACATGTATGTAGCACCATTCTTTATTTGCGAGCCTTACTACACATATTTGGTTGTGAGAGTGCACACAGTACAGTTTTTGCCATTCCAACAAATTCTGATCATCAACCTATGCATTTCTCAAATCGTGTTCACTTGAAATTGAATAAACATTTTATTTACAAAAGATAGGCGGGCTTTGAGCGTCATTTAGCATTGACCTTGGCCTACACCAACAAAGCATGTTCATTCTTAGCCTTCTTCATCTTCATTTTTGTAAAAATATCAGATGTAACATATTGGCAAATTCACTCTATCAGTATTGCTACTCGTCATCCTCAAACTAGTTTGATTTTCCTCAGTCAAATGATTTCTAAAAGCAGTAGTACTAAACACAGACCTGTCTTTTTTTTTTTCCTAAAAATGGTAGATTAAAAATGGCTTACAAAACACAAGTTCACAATTCTCATCCCCCCTCCCTCTTCCCGCATTACATCAACACACCCCAAAATCTGAAACCCCACATCTAAAAACTACTATTTTCTGGCCTGCAAAAAATTATTCCGCCATTATGAAAGAGCAGATGTGAGAGACTGACTGACAAAAAAGGGGGGTGAAAAGAAATCAGCTTTGTTCTAATTTCCTACTCTATTACAGACGGATACATCGGGCCAAGTTACCTGGCTGAAAAATGTGTATTAGTGAACAGTGTAACCGTAACATCAACCATTCGATTCCTTTTCGGAGTTTTAAGCTAAAGGGACACTACCACACTCTGCATGTAATATATGCTGAAACAGTACTAAGACGAAGTAAAAACAGTTTGGGGTGCTCAACCTGCAGCTGAGATTGGCTTGGCTGGACTCGTATCGTTGATCTCCGTTTGACAGACGCTGTGGTTTAGTGGTTGGGTCTGCATGCCTGCATCTCTCCTCTGGGTTTGGAGTGACAGGTTGGTTTTGTGGTGGTGGGAGGAGCTGTGGTGATCTCATGGCGTCAGCTCCCCTTTCTTCTGGGGGGTGCTGAGTTTCTGCATCCCTCGGACCTTCTCCAGCAACGCCACTATGAAATCCTGCAGGTGGCCAGAGCAAGAATTATGGCAAGAAAAGGCATATTTCTGTCCAGAGTGTGATTAAATGAAGCATAATCGCATTGTAATGAGTGACTCGGTGGCTCTAAGAATATCACGACCGCCTGTAATGAAGGTAATTGCTAATGCTATTAATATTCCAAATGGCACTTACATCATTAGGCTTATAACAGTCGACCAGCAGCATCTGAAAACAAAAATGGAAAGAGATTTAATGCCTTTCGGACTAATCTGCTGTTTTTCCAACTGTGTACCAATGAAAGCGGAAACGCTGAAATAAATCTGCTGAAAATGTTGTCTTCAAAAAGAGCTCAAGACTGAAAGGATTACTGTCAAACCACCTGCAGATGAAATGTCAGAGGGATGCGCAATTCAGCGCAGAAGGGTGAACGTCTTGAACGTTAATATTCTTACGAGGAGATATCTGAAGTGAACAGAATCAAGTTAAATGTATTAAAGATCTGATTAGACCTTCACTCGAATGGCTCTCTCAACATCACTGGGCAGATCCAGCAGCTCATCCACATCTATTTCCAGCTCAGGCACCTCATCCTCCTGCAAAATACAGAACCACTGATGAGAGAGACGTTAAAAAAGTCAAAGTGAATAATTCACAAGCCAAAGAACGGTGATCAGGTCCTTAACTATGTAGACCAGTATGAGGTGAAATCAATCAGGCAAACATCTCCTGATCTCAAGAGTTTATGTAGCCAACAAGGGCTGGTCCACTATTATTTTCATGTCCCAGTGTCCCACAAATATGCAAAAACTGTACCTTTAGGGTTGCAACAGCTTGTCACAAAGGACAATCTGTGCCTTATCTACCACTGAAAGAAACATATGTAGCAATATACCCTTAAAGGGGACACTCCACCCAAAAAATGAAAATTCTGTCATTTACTCACCTTCATGTCATTCCAAACCTGTATGACTTTTTTTTTTGGCAGAACACAAAAGAAGATATTTTTAAGAATGTTGGTAACCAAACAGTTTTGGTTCCCATTGACTTCTATTGTATGGAAGTCTATTGGAACCATTGGGAACTGGTTAACAGCATTCTTCAAAATATCTTCTTTTGTGTTTCGCAGAAGAAAGGAAGTCACATACACTACCAGTCAAATGTTTTTGAACAGTAAGATTTTTAATGTTTTTTTTTTTTATAATTCTCTTCTGCTCACCAAATTTGCATTTATTTGATCCAAAATACAGTGAAATCAGTAATATTGTGAAATATTTTTACTATTTAAAATAAGTGATATCTATTTGAATATATTTTCAAATGTAATTTATTCCTGTGATCAAAGCTAAATTTTCAGCATCATTACTCCAGTCTTCAATGTCACATGATCTTTCAGAAATCATTCTAATATGCTGATTTGCTGTTTAAGAAACATTTTTATTATAATTATTATCAATATTTAAAACAGTTGAGTACATTTTATTTCAGGATTCTTTGATGAATAGAAAGATCCAAAGATCAGGATTTATCTGAAAAAAAAAGCTTTTGTAACATACACACACACACACACACACACACACACACATATATATATATATATATGAATTATAGAAATTATAGAATTATAGAAATTACTTTTAATTAGTAAGGATGCTTTAAATTGATCAAAAGTAATGATAAAGACATCTATAATGTTACAAAAGATTTCTATTTCAGATAAATGCTATTCTTCTGAACGTTCTATTCATCAAAGAAACCTGAAAAAAATATACTCTGCTGTTTTCAACATAATAATAATAAATGTTTTTTTGTGTGTAGCAAATCAGAATATTATAATTATTTATGAAGGATCATGTGACTGGAGTAATGATGCTAAACATTCAGCTTTGATATCACAGGAATAAATTACATTTTAAAATATATTCAAATAGAAAAGAGTTATTTTAAATAGTAAAAATATTTCAAAATGTTTGTTTTTGCTGTACTTTGGATCAAATAAATGCAGGCTTAGTGAGCAGAAGAGACTTCTTTAAAAAACATTAAAAATCTTTCTGTTCAAAAACTTTTGACTGGTAGTGTAGGTTTGGAATGGCATGAGGGTAAATAAATGATGACAGAATTGCATCTTTTTTTTGAGTGGACTGTCCCTTTAAGGCACAATTGTAAACCTTTTAGGGGTTGATAAGATACAGAGTTGCCTCAGTGACAAGCTGTTGTTCTCCTAAAGGTACAATTTTTGCATTATTTGTTTCTGAGAGCAGAAATGCAGCCATCTCTGGCCTTTGTGCATGACATCCTCTCTGCACAACAGGAAGGGCTGATCCTCATGTCGGAGTGCGATTTATTGTGTGCTTGTAAAAATAACAATTTCCATTCACTTCCTGTCAGCTTACAAAGACAACATTGTGTCTCTATCCACACAATGCTGTCTGATAGCTTCTTAGGTTGAGACACAGTAAGTGAATGGAAGCACAACCACAGCTTCAGCCTCTGCTCTGTAAAGCCCAGGATTTGTATGTCTTATTGCAGCTAGTTTGCAGTCACACTCCTTTTCATCAAAGAATCACTCTCATTTTGCTGTTCCTGTAGTGCTATTAAGCACCATTAGTGAGTTTATATGTGCTGAGGGAGACGGGGGAGGAAAGCTGCCGTGGAAGGAATTGTCACAAGTTTTGTGCTATTGCAGACATTAAAAAAGCAGGTTTGTTATGAAACCCTTCACACTGACCTATATTGTAGAGTCGCTCTAGCACACTACAGCTGACCAAAGCCTATCCAGAGGTGCTACTCTTAAAGTAAAACACCTTCTCTTGCATCTGTAACTTGCAGACTAATGCAGCAATTCATGATACAGTAATGGGACTGAGAAGACTGATCAATCATGGTATTCTGTGGTCAAATCAGGGCTCAATAATGAGGAAGTCCAAGGCATGTTTATGAATTTATTGCGGTCATGAAGTTACAATATAGCCAAATAATTTTCAGCTTTTACTAAAATATAGTGTGTGTTGTGGCTAGTAAAAGAAATGGCAGGCAAAAACACTGGCATAACTAGCACAATAAAAAATATTTCTTGGAGCAACACAACTGTGTAAACATTGATAATAATAAATGTTTCTTGAGCTGCAAATCAGCATATTAGAATGATTTCTGAAGGATCATGTGACACTAAGGACTGGAGTAATGACTGCTGGAAATTCAGCTTCGCATCACAGGAATATATTTTTAAATATATTCAAATAGACAATGGTTATTTTTAATAATAACATTTCACAATATTAGTGTTTTTACTGTATTTTTGCTTACATAAATGCAGCATTGGTGAGCACAAGAAACTTCTTTAAAACATTTAAAAAATCTTATGACCCATAACTTTTTGTATTTCATGTCAGTTTATTTATTTAATTGTTAAGTAGCCACTTTGAGTCCTGATCACCCAGTTTATTTTATGATAATGACCAGTAGGCTATGTTATCCATCACACAGTATTTCTTCCATGTAAATAATGTGAGCTCAATAAGAAAATGTAAACCTGACTGTAAAACCATTAAAGGTACAAAATATGCTCACAAAATATAATCATTAAACAAAAAACACATTTAAGCCAACCTTTGTCCATGCTACTCTGAAGAAAGGCCACAGTAGAAACCTGTTTAAATTAGGTTATGTAATTTGTCAGCGTGCATCGTTCTCCTCTTAGGTACAAACATTTATCTTCAGTTTTTGCTGAGGGCAGTTGTGATTTAAGATGTGCATTCTAAACATCAGCCTAATTGGACCAAACATTGCTGAGACTAGCAATATAATAGAAGAGTTCTCTTGTCAGACCACATTATTATACAAATAACCTGTGGGATTCAGATGACATTTCACGGGTTCAAATATGTGTGCTTCTATTTTCCTCTCCCTTATTATTCAAATATCACAGTAATGCGTAGGACTGTGTTCAGACATAAGAAACCATTCATCAGAAACCAAGTCAGAGGCTGTCAAGCAAATCCAATAGATTCGGGCTACTTTGGAGTATGTCAGTGAGACAAAGCGAAATGTGGATTCCCAAAGCCAGATTTTAGCTCAGGATGAGGCCTACCGCTGGGTTGAAAAGAGCATTCAGAAAAATCTCATTTTACGAGCTGCATAGTTTTACATGACACATAATCTAGGTCAGTTATATTAGCCCTGGAGCCCTGGAGGTTAAGTCGAGCTCAAAGTGAAGCATGCTTTGCATGTCTGAACAGATGACATCATCACAATGGCTAGAAGGGTGATTCCAAACATCCCAGGGGGTTACAAGGAAGACAAAAAAAACCTATCTTGACCAGTGTCACCTACTGTAAATATGTGCAACTGACATAAAAATCCTAATCAGTGATACCTGGGTTTTGTGTATCTGTTGACATGAATATATTGGGATTGGAATCCATGTCTTTGTTCATGCAACTGGAGCTCCTTGCTCATATAGATCTGTCACATTAACATGAGGCAAGCCCACTTTTCGATGAAATATGAATGGATGCATTATGCATAAAGGATGCATTAGGTGCTCAATTTTTTCCTAGCAGCACCTGTCCATGAGGCTCACCTTTGTTTTATGGCTTTGTCTGTAGTTCTATCATGCCACGCCCTTCCATGTGTAAATGCATAACCATAAAATTAACATCGATTAAAAATCAAGACATCAAAATAAAAGATGTCATGCTGCTCTTAATAAGCAACAATTTGTGAACGCAAGGCAATTATCATGCAGAATGGACATGACAAATGGAACGAGAGGAATACCGGTGCACGAGTCCTGAAAAGAAAGAGCTGTCATTCCTTCAACAAAGGATTGCACGCGATCAGAGCACTGACAGTGTTTTGTGTCCTACCTCGCAGTCGTACAGATTCATTAACTGGCTAACTATCCACTCCTCCAAATTCAGTCGCCTCCTCAGCTCTTTTCTGTCATATTTTACGGTCACTCGTCCTTGCTTCTGTGGCACTTCTTCTTCGGTACCGGGTGGTGTTTGAAAATAAACCCGGGGCTGAGGTGTCGTTTCCGGACTTGTTACCGCTGCCATTGTCCCTAATAAAAAACAAAAAAGCTGAGGTGGATTTAATGGCTTAATTAATTAGAACATCAATTCAAAAGAGAGAGCTGGTCATGTGCACATCCATGCTGGAAAAAAAGTGCCGGGCCCCCTTTTCTTTAAATGGAACAGACCTTTAGCTTACAAGGAGTCCGCAACGGTAGACTGGGATCAGGCATACAAGGAGCTTAGAAAACAGAAGAATTGATCAGACTAATTGTGTGGCCGTGGTTTATCAAAGTCCATCTTCCCCAAATCGGTCCATCAATTGTCACAGAACAGCTTGTGGGCGCCTCCAAGCGAATCATTCGGATCGTTTGAATCAATTAATCAGTAGAGTCGGATCTTTTTAATAAATCAGCAAAGCGGTTCACTAAAACAGACTGACTCGCTACTAGCACACTACTCTGCTCTATTTTACAGTACACTACACTACACTAATATTTAAGAAATAGTAATATGTAGAGATGTAGTATATTATCAATGCAGAGTTCACTGTGAAAGGTTTCTTTCGCGCGAAAACCTCCGAACCGAAAACCTGAGCTGGAGCCAACTGAAGATTTGACTGTCCAAAGCAGGGGAACTATGATGTCTAGGGATGGGCGTATCGATCCGAAGTATCGATATATCGATACTGACGCGAGTATAGAAAGTATCGATACTCAAACAAAAAAATATCGATACTAAGGTGCATTTTATTTACCAGTGGTTTTGTTTATTTAACAAAAATAATAATAATAATAATAATAATAGTGCATACAATATGCATTGAATTGGACGAATAACCTTTGTTAGCGAGTAATTGTGTAGGATATAACTATTTTCCTGCTTATCTGAACACACGCAAATGTTGCAAGACAGAACCAATCAATCACAGAGAGCATTCACTCACTGCTGACAGTGCATTCAAACAGGGCTGCTTTTCCCAAAAGTATCATAAGAAAGCATTAAAGCTTTTGGGAATGGCAGCCCTGAACAATGTTTATCAGAGGACAGAAATAAAAACATAAATGTTTGAGTTAGTTCACAATAAACAAATTGAAATTGTAGCCTACATAGTTTGTGCAATTACAATTATTTAAATTGAACGTTGAAAGATAACATTGATCATGTAAAGGTTGCATTTTATGCATGCAACAGCCATTCACTGGCAGTCCCTAATGGCAGTACAAAATATTGCACTAAATCAAAAGTTCAAATGTTACAAATAAGTTAGAATATTAATGTTGTAATACTGGTAGCACTAATATAAAAATGTGATGATATGTTACAAAAAAGTAACAATTTTGAAATACGTTGATGGTTGTATTTTTTTGTATTTGATCTCAGTATTCCTATCAATGTTGTATAAGGGTTTTTATTCATAATAGTAACCTTAGAATGTGATCAAACAGTTTAAAATAGCTGGACTAAGATATATATAACAATTTTTATGACTGCAACCCATTTTACTCTTAGTAATTTAATCATTTAATACATTTCATAATTTAAAAGTTTAGTGCAGAAGTATCGAATCGGTATCGATATCGACGATACTGCCTTGAAAAATATCTGTATCATATCGAAAACAAAATAAGGGGTATCGCCCATCCCTAATGATGTCACTTTGTTTTATAATCTATAATAACATTAAACTTATTTCATATTTTCTCTAAAGCTTCTTGGATATTAAGGCACCTGCAGTTGTGGCCAAATTAAAGATACGTTGTGTGTGAATTTGCACATGTTATAATGTAAGCATCATTAATGACCCCTTGTGTTTAATCAATCCGTGGTTCACACAAGCTCAAGATACTTTTACGTTTTATTCTACGACATAAAACACACCAGTTACACCCCACTCATGATTTTTTTAACAAGTTGCTAAATGGGACTACAGACGCTGTCGGAGATATGTCATCACGCCGAACAGTTTATCAATTTACAGTACATTCCAACTGTAGTATCATTTATAGTACAATTAATTGTAGAATAACCAATTAATAGTTTACC